ATTGTGCACTGGAAGCTGGCCAGTCCATTGCATATGACGATTTATTGAGCTGCTGTGCTCAAAGACAGCTTGACAATCTTGCTGAACAGCCTCTTCAAATTGCCATCACTGAGCCCCCCACACGAGTTGAAATTGAAACTCTTTGTCTCCAAGCTCAACGAGGACGAGCGCCGGGACTTGATGCTGTCCCTGCTGAAGTGCTTCAAAGTCTGATTGCATTTTCTTCCCACGCCATCTTTGACTTGATGTTCAAGGCTTGGGTGACTGCAGCGGAACCTCTACAATGTAAAGGCGGTGCGATCCACTCAATCGCAAAGAAGGCAGGTGGCCTCACCGCTGCCAATATGAGGGGAATCATGTTATTGGACAACATTGGAAAAATTTACCATGCCCTGGTGCGTTCTCGTTTGCTTCCATGGGCAAATGGCAATCGACTGCCTACTCAGTTTGGGGGATTCAAAGGCCAGCAGCCTGCATTTGCCTCTTTGATGTTGCGATCGTTTGTCAACTTTGCCGCTTCAAAACGTGTCTCAACAGCAGTGGTCTTCGTTGACGTCAAGAGTGCATTTCATTGCCTATTGCGTCAACATGCTTTTGGCACTGGTGATTGTTTTCCTGCTACCTTAGCCGACACTTTACGTCGAGAGGGACTTTGCGTTGACACGCTTTTAGCTGAAGCCCGACGGCATTCTTCTCATTTTGTCGATCAAGTTTCTCCCTCTTTGGCGCGTGTTGCCCAAGATGCTCACTGTTCGACGTGGTTTGTTTGCCCTCAATTGCCTGATTGCTTTGAGACCACGAGAGGCTCTCGGCCTGGTTCTCCCCTAGCAGACCTGGCGTACAATGTGCTCATGACCTCGCTTTTGAATGAATTGCAATGTGAGGTTCATGCCATTGGCTCCATCATGACAGCTCATGCTTTTCTGGAATTTGTCATGCCCGTGCTTGCATGGGTTGATGACATTGCCATGCCAGTGTCCTGCATCGAGGCCGACTCTTTGGATGCGACCTTGGCGCAAGTCATGTTGATCATGCATCAGGTGTTCAACCGCTTTGGGCTGCGCTTGAATCTCAGCAAGGGTAAGACCGAAGCAGTTGTCCACTACAGAGGACCCAATGCTGCACAATTGCGACGTGCCAGATTTCTGGAACACTTCAGTCACCTTGAGGTTCCCGGTAAAGAGCCTCTGCGCATTGTCACACAGTATGTTCACCTTGGTATTTCCTTTGCGCGGGACTGTGATATCAAGACTGACGTCACCACTAAGATTGGCAAAGCCACTGCTGCCTATCGATCTCTTCACCGCCCACTCTTTGGCAACAAGCGTATTCCCATTGCGATTCGATTGAAGCTTTTGGAATCCCTTGTGCTCCCCATTCTGTTCTACGGAGCTGGGAGTTGGCCACTTCTTCCAATGCAACTCTGTACCCACCTCTCAGCGGTGATTACACGCTGGCAACGACAGATCATTGGAAATGGCTATTGGAAGGAGGGTTCTCTATCTGACCAAGCTCTCCGTGCGCTTTGGAAAATCCCTGAACTTGCTCTTCGGCTTGCTAAGCATAGATTGTTATTCCTTCTTCAGCTACGGCATCATGGACCTGCGATTCTGTGGGATTGTTTGACGGCTGAAGATGGTAGTACCTCATGCTCATGGCTGACAGCAGTACGGCAAGCTCTCCAATGGTTTTTCTCCATGCAGAATGATGAATGTATTCCTGATCTCACATGTGAAAGCATTGTCCGCTGGGCGTTTGAGGCTCCTGCCACTATGCCCAAGTCCATTCGACGTGCTGTTCACCGGCACTTGATGCAAGAGTTTACGGCTCATCAAGTTGTACAAGCTCATCGTGATCTCAAATCTATGTGCTTGAGTTATGGTGTTGTTTTTGAGAATGTCACTGTCTCCCAGGCATCGCCATTGATTTCTTTTGACTGTTCAGAGTGCTGCAAGTCCTTTTCCACGGTGCAAGGTTTGAATGCTCACCGGTGGAAGCAACACCAGACCATTTCCATTGAGAGACAATTTGTTTTCTCTAGCACTTGCCTTTGCTGTCATCGTTGCTTCTGGACTGCTCAGCGACTCCAGCAACACCTCCGATACAGCAGACGTTTTGAGAATGGATGCCTTGAATGGATCCAGATGCACTTTGAGCCTCAGTCCACCTCGACGCCTATCCATTTGCCTGAGTTTTTCAAGGGTCAATTTCGTCTGCCGTGGACGCATGCATGTGGACCTGAGCCTGCGCCCCCACGTGCTCTATGGGCCATTCAGCACGACAAGGCCTGGGTTGAATGGACGGCGGGCTGGCAGAAGGCTGGTTTTCCTGAAGACCTCTCTGTTGAGATCTGTGAATCAGTGCCATTCCGACTTGGATTGCCGATGGTGCGCAAGCAGACGCATTGGCCTTTCGATGGAGTTTCCTTATTGACAGTTTTGATGAACCTCACGATTCTCTTCGTGGTATGCATGCCATCTGGGCCTTCGGCCTCTGGGGACGTACGTGCATGTACGACGAAATCAGCAAGATCGAAGACCCAGACATCCAGATGTCAGTGGAACAGCAGTATTTATCCATGCTTGATGACCTTCCGGTTTCGGCGCTTCTGGACCGCTTGGAGAAGTTGCACCGTGCCACACCGTTTTTTGCTGAGAAGGACTTCTCTTTGACTGCGTCTTCACCGCAGCAGAAGCAGGCAGGGACTAAAGAACCTTTTCAGGCAATTTATCGCACAATGGATTCTGCCCTGCAACCCTTCATTGGAGGGAAAGTCATTGAATGGCCTCAGCAGCGTGGCATCCCTGTGTGTCATCGTGATGACGGCAGCCTCGTCATGTACATTGTGCACCTGTTTTCAGGACGCAGACGCCAGGGAGATTGTCACGACTGGGTCGCCAAGCTCTCGAAGGAGTACTTTGAAGACATTGACGTCATCGTTCTATCCATTGACACAGCTGTTGGTGGTGACAAGTGTGATTTATTGCAAGGTGAAGGACTGGCTTCTCTCAAAAGATTCATTGCACTTGGACTCGCTACGGCATCAGTATCAGGACCTCCCTGCGAAACCTGGTCAGCGGCTAGGCATTTGCCCCCCCCTGCTGGTTGCAAGCGTCGGTGGCCTCGACCGCTTCGTTCTGCAGCCGAGCCTTGGGGACTTGCAGCACTTTCCCACCGAGAATTGAGCCAGCTCTCGACTGGAAGTGCGTTGATGACCTCCAATGTTTCCATTGAGGTTGAGATTGTCCTGAATGATGGAGCCTCCATCATGGAGCACCCTGCTCCTCACAGTAATCCTGATTATGCGAGTGTTTGGAGAACCGCGCTACAGAGATTGACCTGTGGGGGTGCACCCGGCTTTCAACTTCTGGAAGTTGAACAATGGCGTTTTGGCGCACAGGCTGTCAAACCGACTACGCTGAGGTTGATGGGTTTGCCACCATCGGCCGAGATTCTACATGACTCAGCCTTGCCGGGGGTGACTCGACCTATTGCTACTCTTGCAGGATTGGATGGTTCCACTGGGCTCTTCAACACCGCCAAGGCGAAGGAGTACCCCAGCGGATTCTGCCGGGCGATCGTGATGACCCTCTTCACTGGGCTCTCTCATCGACGGCGAGATCAGGGTATGCAGGTTCGAAATTTTTCCCAGCTCGAAGAGCGGGACAGGGCAGTCGAGACTGCGTCATCCTCCTGCTCCGCTACCACATTTTTGCCTGATTACCAACCACACCGGTAAGGCATTGTACAGTCCAGTGCATGACAGCACAAGACCCGTCTTAACTGCTGCTGAATGAAAAAAATGATATCGATATAATCCCACAACTCAAATAAATAAATGTGCAACATTTTAAATTCCTAAAAGACACCCAATTGCTTCCTTCAAAAGCCCCCGCCAAAGCTAGCAGATTGAACCGCCAAAAACGCCGTTTGCTAGGCGTGGCTGAGGCGGAAGGATTGGCGGCAGCAAGATTTGGACCTCAAGGATGGAGTTTGAATCTGAAATGTGGGAAGTCTTTATTGGGGATGGTTTATGGTTTTGGGATGTTTTGGGATGTTCTGGTTCACGCATTTTTGTGGTCAGAATCCCATGAATTTCTGGACAGTCACAGGTAATGGTGGTCTTTAGGCCAAAACAATTTCATTTCTATGTTTTAGACATGTATTTTGTGGACAGATACTTGAATCAAATATGATTTTTCTGGAATGATGAGCGCCTCAGTCTGGAGAGTTCAATCCATCGGGCTGAACCAGCGCTGATGCATCAGAAACAGGAGTCGCGAACGTTTGGTAGTTTGGTCTGATGCGTAGCCTCTATTTTCGATAAGATTCAATACTCAACAGTTTTGGGACACTGTGGGGTGTTAAGTGTTAACTGATGTTAAGTGTTATTGGAGGATGGACTTACTTTCCCATTTTGTGGTGGTTAAACAAAACTTTTTGGTACTGCTGGAGCCTTCAACTTGGAGGCTATTATGTCTAATGTGTACTCCCAAAACGGATCAACATTGCATTCTGATAGGGAATAGGATGATCAACCAGCACAGTACAGTAGATCTCTTGGGCGAGTTTCACGGAAACCCGTAGTTCCCCCTGCTTGTTGGGTATCTCAACACACAACAGATTCAGTAAAAGATGGACAAGATGAACAAAAGATGAGGATCACATGTAATTATCCAGCAATCACATCTTCGTTACCTTCGTTTGAACAGGGACGCCCAAATCCGCTCGTTTGGCGTCCAGCAGAAGACCTTCGGCTCCAGGACTTCATCCGACCCAGGGTTGAGTCAGAACGAATTCCGCAGCTTATGTGGCAAGGATCACCCCCTGGTTGGTTTTGAATATGCGAAACATGGAAATTGGGGTCAATTGGGGCATGGTGAAAATATATTCGCTTTACCGCAGATGCAATGAGCAAGAGTTCAGCAGATTCCAAAGAGATGAGTATGCCATCGTTTCGCCCTCGCAAAAACCCGTTCCGTTGTTCCGTTCTGGGACCAACCATTGCAGCAACCGATGCAATCCCTATGGGAAGCCTTGGCCCTGGATCTCCTTCGCCGTGCGACTGCGGCGGAGAACAGCGAGTTGCGCAGTGCTGAGAATGTCGAAGAGATGTTGGAAATTGAGGCGAATGGGTTCCGAAGCTGTCAGCTTTGAGTCACCCTTCTGAAGAACTTTTATCAACATCTATGAACAGGGTACTACCCGAAAAAAAAAACACACGAATCTCTTTGAAGCTTGGGGTCTCGCATAGTTGGATTTGTCATTAGTGAGCTGGGAATATAACATCCCTTAAAGCTAATCTTACCATGTCGGGTGATTTGTAAGACATACCCAATATACCCAACAGGGGTCTAAGATGCAATCTGCCCCAATTTAGGATCTCTATGTTGGATGGTTCGTAGGCTTAAATTCCATCAGGGTTGATACATGACTATCTCCTGCATGGTCCAATGCAGCCGACTTAGAAATCCGGCTGAACCTAGTCACAAGAAGCCACATTTTGATGGTTTCTCGAGTTTCTCGCCTAAAGATCTTACTGTATATACTAGCTCAATTGAGCCATTCGCGTTGGTGTTTTCCGTTTTTGGATATCGCTGGATTCACCGTACGATCGGATCATAACTGGGAACACAACACTGCAGGTTACCAACCACGCCCAATTAGCTTATTCATTCTCCAGTAGTTTAAATATGTTTTAATTAACCATTTGGACCATTGGATTTGTCCTAAGAATTCCCAAAGCCAGTTGCGTTCAGTGGTTTGTAACCATATTACCCTCTGGTAATTTAACATAGCTATTGAAAATGGTCATTTATAGTGGATTTTCCCATTAAAAATCGTGGTTTTCCATAGCTATGTTAGTTTACCAGAGGGTAAACAGTGCAGTTAGACTGGTGGGATATGACCCCAGCGATGGCTTAAGCCATGAACCACAAGTAACCGGGGCCCATCGAGGATCGTCCCAAAGTTGGCCAGTGGGCGGCCCAGTTGTGTCTGTTGCTTAAAAAAACCTCATGAAGATTCATGAACTATAGATATATCTATAATATATACATATATACATATATATATACATATATATATATATATATCATATATATATATATATCCACCCCAAACAATTATCGAATTCACATCGAAAGAAATCTGCAACTTTTTTGCGTTCGGTGACCCCACCTGGTCCCCACCGGTGTCCAGCGCCAGGTGCTCTTCCTCACCGGTCAGCGCTGCATGGTACGCCTCCCTGGCTCCGCCCCTGGCCGCGCGCTGCAGCTGGCGCTCGAGAAGCTGACGGAGCTGCGGGCAGGTGACGTAGGGAGAGGTGGGAAAAGATGGGGAGATTTGCCTTGAAAGATGGGATAGACCACTAAAGTTATCCTAAAAACAGTGCTTTGGAAAAGTCATTCTCTATTTCTCTGAACTTGGGAATTTGCCCAAGAGGTCAGATGGTTCAGACATGAACCTTCATCCGCTTAGGCTTGGGTATCATCATTTTCCCCATTAAGGTGGCCAATAAATTGGGGTATCATATGGTATCCTCCATTTCTGAACAAACCCTGGGGATTTGTCTAGAAGATGGGGATTTCAGATGTTTTTTTCTCAGCGCCACTGAGCGGATGCCCTGGAAACCCCAAGATGGAATCCAATTTTATCCTTGAGTCTTTGGCTTTGGACATCTAGATATTTGTGGTTTTTGTTGGTGAAAACGACCTCCCGAAATTCGGAGACCATCCCAGCCTCGAGAGGTGTATTGGGATGGCATGACCCCAGCCTCTGGGTCTTTTCGGGCTGAATTTGTGAGTGGAATCGCAGATGTGGGCCATGTACTTCATTCACTGAATCCCGTCAATTGAAGGAGGTTTTATGGATCACAATTAATAAAATCTTCGAACTCGGGCTTTCCCCAAATCACCAAATCGCGATCACGTGGTTGGTTTCTTCTCCCATTATAATATATCCGATATGTCATCCCATATGTCATTCCACTATATCCCAATGTCAAATTCTCATTGGATCATTGAAATCCCGTTGTATATATATATATATGTACAGTATAATTATATATATCATTAGATATGTGTATACATATATATATATATACATACATACCCATGATATTCCATTTGTGTTCTCTATCCTTCTGACGATGCCAGCATCGCTGGTTCTTTCCCCAGTGACAGGTGTGACTTTGAAGCTCGCGATGACTTCCAGGCGACGTCAAGTCAGGGTTCATTAAGTCCTAGTTCACTTATCTCGGGATTTGCTTTTTGACTTGGAATAATATGTATATATATATATATATGTATTGCACAATACTATATATATGCATCATACATGGACATGTGTGCACATTTTGTAATTATACATATATATATATATATATGATATGTAACTAGATCGCAATTTTGGGACCCCCCAAGTAATGAACTGGATTTGATAATCCAGGGTTTACGTTAATAATTCCCAGATGAGCCAGACATGGGGAGAATGTCCGATAAACCGAAGAGAAGCTGATCTGGGGCAACTCACAATGCTCTCGATGACGTCTGAACACGTTTCAAACAGGCTAAGATTTCAGGAAGTCTATGAATAAGATATCAGTAAACATATCATGATATAGCTACAGGTGAAAACAAACCGACTTGAAGGGTCTTGTTACTTTCTCGAGATTGCGATTCCAAGTCAAAGGGTTTTTCCACTAAACATACAAGAGAACAATAAGCCGTGAACCAACAAGAGAGCAAACTCTGTTCTGTATACTATTTGATAATTCTGTATGGAAAATCAGCATTTACAAACATGCTAAGTGATCGAACTAAATGTTGGGTCCCACCACGCAAGCCACGCTCCGCAACGCTGCCTACGGGAGGCTCTCAATGAGTCAGACCTTGCAGCAGCAGGGCTTCACGACAGAGCTTCAAAGCGTGTCTTGCAACTTGCCGAGCCGCCTGAAGTTGGTGTAGGCCCATGGGGGGGTCCTAAGATGTCCTAAGTCATGGGGGTACCCCGAGTCATCCAAGGAACATGGATGACCATGACTTAGTATTGAAACCTATGGTGACTTGGAAATCCCCCATTTTAAGAACCCCCCCATAAATCTATAGTTGGTAGGATTAAATTCATCATTTTAAGAACCCAGAACCCCCCCATAACCACCCATAAATTTTAAGACCCCCCATAACTAAACCGACGAACATCAACTTGGGGAGGAAACATTCGGGGGAAGAACCTCCTAAATCCACTGGTCCAACTCATATAGTTTTCCAGATCAAACTCGGGAGTAGGCCGTCGGGGACGGCCTGTAAGCAGAGACTAATCTGCTTACTACATCTGCCGGACACCAAAATCAGGCAAATAAGAAATCACCTAAGTAAGACCTAAGTATAAACACCTGTAGTAAGCAGCTATGTGAAAATATAGAAGAATAAACTCAAGCAAATGTACCAATTGTGCCAAGTAGATGTATCATGAAATGAAGGGTTAGTGTCACCAACTTCAGACATGTAGAAACACCACCAAATGCCTCGGTTGTGAAGCCTTTAGGCTCCTTCCTCGTATGTGTGTTGCGTATAATTATATAACTAATGGTGCAGTTTTACATCAAAGATGTAATTCAAGGAATCTACAGTGTGTACATGCACTGAGACATAAAGACATGTTGTTGAGCCGTCCAGTGGGTCAGGGGATGACCTTTCCATGATCCGGACTTTTGGCTCATCTAGATGTGGCTGGTCAGGTTTGGGATTATTGACCCAAATTCTTTACTAGCAGATCAGCAAGTCAAGCGGGCAGAAATGACATGAAATTCGGTTCAAGGTTTCTGTCAGCAATAGGGGAAACTAAGAGGAAAAGATGGCAGAACCGCTTCTGGCTGATCTATCTCTTGCTACTTTTTAGACCAGAAAAAGTTAGTTTGAGGCGGGCGCAAGGGGTCTGCCCCAGGACTGGTGACCTCCCACAGTCTGATTGAATACCGCTCCCACTCTGTATGCATCTTTCGATTTACAAACTGTGTGTGTGTGTGGAACATCTGAAAAGATGTAAAACTTCTAACTCATGCACTGATTGTCATGATTGGCTTCTTTTTATTTTGTGGACTTTTGCCGTCGTTACATTTGTTTAGATGCAGGGGGACCATCCATGTACTGTGTGCGATGGTCCAACGAAGCGGCCACAGTACATGCGGATATCACGGCTGATCACCGTGACGTACCTGCAATTTTTTCTGTGATGGGAAGAGGCTCAACCCAAAAACCTCCAAGTCGATTTTCCTTTTTCAAAACGCTTCAAACCAAAACCAAATCATTCAGTTTCATGTCAGCACCTGTACGGTTTTCGCAATCTGACTGAGTTGCATCAGAACAAGTTAATTCTTCGAGCAAGGACGTAGAAAGAATACCTTCGCACAGTTTCTCACTTCTAATCATTCAACCATTCCTGTCAGGTTTACTGAGGTGTTTTTGCACGTGCGATGCATTCCACATCAATAATTCGATAAGCTGTTTCTGAGCAAGTGTGTCCTTCATACCGGTTTTCGTCAAGGTGGTATGAACCCTTCGGGGAAAGCCTTTCCAGGCTAACATTTGACAGTAAAACGATCTCTGAATTTACACTTTTGAATTAGTAATTCGTCTAAGTAAAGTGAACCGCTGGCCATTTTTCGATTCTCACCCTGTCGAAGTCGCTTGGTTGAACAATTGGCCGCCGTTTGGCTTCAATTCTTTCAGTGGATTTCTCACTGCATAGCCTGAAGCCACGCCAACAACCTTCCTTTTCAGTGGAGCTCAAGAGACTGCTCGCAGCCATTTACATATGAACAGGCAACAGGACATGCTTTCCAGGTTTGGTCACTTCCTTTTGGTTGTTTGGTGAGGTTCAATTGTGCACGTAATTCAGGGGTTGAACACGTCAGCTGTCCAGAGGGTTTTGACTTGAATACCGAGGGCCTTTGAGCCTTATCACGAACCTTGCACGAATTGTGGATGCATCTGTTTTGAACTAGTTTTTTCACTAAAATAACCTGACAGTGCTGCCATGTTTCCTGGACGTTTTCCCAACGTCCCCGACACGATGTGGAACCAACAGTACCAATGGCACCTCCATCCACACAAACTGGATCCAGTGCATCGTTCAACCCTGAAGAGATGATGCAACAGATGAAGCACACAGTCGAATCCAGTATCCAGGCCTTTGTGGACAAGACCCAAGATCGAAACACGAGCCACCTTCCATCACCTTCACATCTACCAAGTCCAGTCTCTCCACACACTATAAGCTATCCCCATCCACCTGATGAAATCCCAACATCACATCAGCGAGCCCACCGACGATCCCGGTCCCAACGTCATCGATCTGAATCCAGGAGACCTGACAAACGACCGGTCTCCATTCCTCGCAGTCCTCGCCGTCACAGATCCACACGACGAACCCGTCGTTCTTCACGACCTCGATCTTCTTCCAGAAGAAGACTCTCCACATCAAGACATGCCTCAAGACGACCAAGCAGGGCAAAGTCGATCACTCTGCGTTCAACATCCCCACGACGTCGAGAAGTATGACATCGAGTACAAGATGACCATCCACCACAAGAACCAACTCACACACCAGCCACTCTCCAACCTGCATCGTGGGAACACCACCCACAACAGTCCTACTACACCACCAACACTCAGACACATTCCTACCACTACGACCAATATGCCACCAACAAGTGGCAATCCAGAGGACAATGGAAAGACTATGCAAAGTCTTCAAATACATCCAACGCTTCAGGTTGGATTGACTACCCAAAACCACCAGCCAGTCATCACAACCAATATGACTCTTCCACCAAACCACTCACGGCATTCTCCTCCGACTCCAATACAACATATCATCAACCAAACAGACCATCACACAGGTCAGGTTCAGTCCAATCCCGTGGCTCAACCACTGTCCCTCCAGGACATGTTGCCATCAACCTTCAAGATGGTTCCAAGGACGAGTGGGTTCGAAACATCAGATTTGCCTTGAGTCATCCCGAAAGGATGCGAGCGGCCAATGAAATTCCGGCTGCTGAACGACCCAAGCCGTCAACGACTATGGACCACCAAGACTACGAACAGGCTTGTGAACAGCTCCATCAGGTCGACCAACGCATCCCTCCGGATGTCGTCAAAAAGGCGGTCCAACTATTTTTCAGCACCCACCTTCTACCCGACTACGATCTATCAACTTGCCACGTCAGAGAACTTCCAGTCACCAACATGCTTGCACTCATCATGCCCTTACCCGACACCAGTCATTTCCAGATGCTACCTCCCTTTGGAAAACGTCAAAGCCACACATGGGCACTCCTTCATGGGACGTCACTTCATACTTCTCAGCAAATCCTCCTTGAAGGCAAGATCAGACCAGCCAACTGGTCATATCATCGAAACCTTCAACGTTGCGACTTGCCAACCTTCGGGGCATTTTACCTTGGTATCCAACAGTGACAAGACCATCCCAGACTGGGCGGAGAGAGAGAGCTACTCGATGCTATCCAAAAGAAAGGAAAAGGACAGCAAGATATCGTCATCGGGGCGATGTATCGAGGATCAACCAACCACACCGCATACAAAGCTTGAGGCAATGAGTTGGTGCAGCTCGGTGTGGTGGAAAAAGGAATCGTCACCACGTCTGAGAAGTACACGATTGCCCACAGCAACCATGTGGGATTGAAGTTTGTCGCTCTCAAGTGGCAAAACCTGAATATGAAGATCGACGTTGGCGACACATCCTCAGAAGATTATAACTACCGCAGCAATGAGGAACGTCACTCAGGTCGTCGTTGATGGCAGGACCTCAGCACTGAGCAGCTGTTATCATGTATTATTAGCTTTAGTCGGCCTAAACAGGAATCCGAATCTGACTTTTCTAGGGACCACCTGGACACGCTTTGATCAAAAAAGCACGGTTGCCCCAATCTGATTCTCTCACTGCTTCAGGAATCCAGGTGTGGTCAACTCCATTGCACTGCGTTGTAATTGCATCTTGCTGGAAGATTTCTTTGATGTTTGTTTTTCTAATTTGACTTCTTGATTGGTCCTACTTTTGGTTTCCCTGACTTTGACCGAACCTTCGTGTATTGCCTTGCAGTTTTTGTTTTTGCCCCATAGCCTATTGAGAGAAAAACTGCGTGCCTTGATTCCATGGCGGACTCGGATCGATCTAGATCCCCAGTGCCTGGACGAAACCGTGCTGAACCTCGTGGACCAGTTCAACCGGTACGACAAGAACTACCTTTCTTCCCTCGCTGGTGCGAACCTATGCAAGCGGCTGTCTGGCACTCACAGCAAATGTCACGACCTCAGTTTCGACCTCAGTTCAACATGCAACAGTCGGGAGCTTATCTTTCGAAACAATCCACGAGCCAAACTTCCTCTATCCTGTCGGGCACATGGCCCAATCCACGCTTTCCACCTGCACCTCCGTCATCACCTCCACCAACTCTTGCACATCCAGTTCCACCTCGCCTTGCCACTCCACCTTGCTCACCTACCTTGCCTTGTCCACCAACCCAGGCTGCCTCACCCAGCACTCCATCCGTTCTGTCATCTCAACCTCGTCATGCTGGCACTCCACATATGACCTGACGAGGAGGTCACACAACAGTGGACGACAACCGGACTTATGGCTTCGATCTCAATCCTCATTGGCAAGAGGACAAAGACCATTACGACAATCAGAAGATCAACGGCTTGACTTTCCCACGAAGCATCCGTCAATCCGCCTTCACGCAAAAGCTGGACATCGAAGGATGTGATCCTTTGAAACTGCCAGTGGCGGCTTTGCTGTATCAGCAAGCCAACAACTTCTGGCTTCGCAAGCTGGCTCATGGACGTGAACTCTATTTGATCCCCACAGGAGACATCGCAGCAGTTGTTTTCATGACTGAGCTCTTGACGCAG